CAAGTTTGGTATTTTGTAACAGCTGTTGAGTGAGTCTGGAATAGTCTGCAGTACCATACAAACACTGGTTGATTTAGAAAGAGAAATAGAACAAGAAGACTTTTAGTGATAGTAAATGAAGGCATAAACAAATTTTATTTTTGGTACTATAATTAAAAATAAAAATCTTTAAATGTTTTTAATGGATTTAGTTCTCGAAGGAGAATTGACCGGCAACACTAACTACTAGTGGTAACTAGAAAATGATACCTGTCAGATTGTGTTTAGCTTCATTGTTTCTATTTTTAAAATGAGTTGCTTATTTTTTCCTCCCCTAAATATCATACACAGGCCTAGAAAGATAATAGTATGTCAGGTTTTAAGTAAGAGATAAGGAATTTTACTTTTCAGCCCTTACTTGTAGCTTGTTTACTTTGATTGCACAACACTTAAATTCGTGTCTATTCTTAAGAAATGTACAAAATTTAAAAGAAAAAGTGCATAATTTTAGTTTACATTTTGTTTGAATTATTGATCTGACCAAAATAGTACTGAGAAGATTTTTTAAATTACAGAAACTTGAGTAGGATAAATTGTTTTTTAATTTTTATTTTTTTATTTATTTTGAGACAAGTTCTTACTCTGTTACCAGCCTTGGACTACAGTGACGTGAACATAGCTCACTGCAGCCCCAAACTCTTGGGCTCAAGCAGTCTTCCCACCTTAGCCTCCCAAGTAGCTGGGATTACAGTTGTGAGCTCTCTGAGACCAGCTTAAATTCCTGTTATCAAAAATTACTTGTTGACTTATGTAAAGAAAAATGAAAAGAGGTAGGGTAGCATTCATTTTTATAAAATGGATTGAATATTCTTGAAAATTGTCATTGGTATGTTACTGTAAATTGATCTGAAAAAGGACTCCCTTAGCTTTTTGTTTATATTTAACATTGAGTTAGTGAATAAAAACAGCAAAAAGTAAAACTAGTAAACATTTAAAAAGGGAAGAAATCAGTATTCTAAGTCTTTAAATTACAGAGTAACTTATCTTATACTTTTAGTTTTGAAGTGTTTTGCTCCCACTTACATTTTTTGTGCTCTTTAAAGTACAGATTGAGCATTCCAAGATCTGAAAATCCAAAATTCAGAATGCTCCAGAATCTAAAATTTTTTGAGTGCCAACATGACACTCAAAGAAAATGCTCCTTGGAGCTTTTTGGGTTTGGGATGCTCAGTTGGTAAGTACGTGATACACATATTCCAAATCCAAAACAAATAAAAAATCTGAAATTAGAAATACCTCTGGTCCCAAGCATTTCATATAAGGGATACTCAGCCTGTAATGGTTTAATAATCTTCATGAGGTCAGAGACCTAGTCATACTTGTATTAATATCTCAGGTCTGTAGCATAGGGCCTGGCATGTGGTCAATGCTCAAGAACCATTTGTGGGTTGAATGTACACACTCTGAAGGGCTTCACAGGTACTTTATACATATTTTATATTCTTATCCTAAATTTAAAATTGATTGAATACATTTTCTTATTAAGTTGTATATATTTTATTTATTGGTATTTTACTCTATAAATAAATATTTCTGGGATATAATATGTTGAATTTGGGGGTGAAGAGGACGTTGAGGTAAGTAAATATAAGGAAGAAAAAAGACTTTTAAGAAATAATTTCTAGGCTTGGCACCTGTGGCTAAAGCGGCTAAGGCGCCAGCCTCATACACCTAAGGTGGCGGGTTTGAATCCAGCCCAGGCCCGCTAAACAACAATAATGGCTGCAACCAAGAATAGCTGGTCGTTGTGGCAGGTACCTGTGGTCCCAGCTACTTGGGAGGCTGAGGCAGGAGACTCACTTGAGCCCAGGAGTTGGAGGTTGCTGTGAGCTGTGATGCTATGGCACTCTACCCAGGGGAACAGCTTGAGGCTCTGTCTCAAAAAAGAAAAAGAAAAGAAATAATTTCCACTGACAATAACACAAAATCCTTGTTTTGAAAATGTGCCTCAAACTGAGAATTCAGGCCACATATGTAACTAAATATTAGGCAAATTTCATTTGTTTATAACTTAAAATATCTGGTATAATTCTATTGCTGTATTATTGAATACTTGAACTTTGATTTTTTAATATAGTAGAGTTTTGATTTTTAATATAGTAGAGTTTTTAGGGTATGTCTTAATACAGTTACGTAAAGAATTAGTTTACCCATAATGGTTTATTAATAGCACCTTAGACAGCACTTAAATTGCAACACAAGCAGACTTTAATGAGAATGATTCCTAGAATAAATTTTAAAAGCCTAAAAATTTGCTTCCAAGGTTTTCCCATGCATGTGAGTATTGTGGGAAGGTACTTTGAAAAAAAATAAATAACTAGAGAATGGTAATACATTTTATACTTAGTAATGCTAAGTTTCTTAAAAGTTGAGCTTGAAGGGCTGATTGAATCCTTTGCTTCAGTGAAGCTGCAGATAAGAGTAAGCAGGGTCACCTAAAGATAGATTTACTTAGAGGTTTGGCTGCCTCTCTGGAACCATTTAGCTTTGAGCAGATTTCCATAAATGGAAAGAGCAACTGGAGAGACCCAGTACCTTGGTTGGGAGTGTGGATGATGTGCAACAGGTGGTAAAACCGTCCCTGGATTTTTAAAATAAATGTTTTCCAAATGACTGTTGTTTCACACTGAGGCTTTAGCGTTTGCTGAATTTTAAGACTAAGTGGATTTTTCCCCCAATTAAAAAAATTCCTGGAAATAGTTTAAAAGATTCATATGTTTAGTGTGTAGAACTTAAGAATTTGTAATATGACTATGAAATTTGTGTAAACATTATAGCTTTTAGTTCCTTTAAGGGACATCTTGAGAAAATCTGTCAAATTAGAATTCTTACATATTCATGTTTAAGGATTTCTTACCAAGTTAACTATTCAATATTTTATGTCAGGATGTGAAATTAATATATTGTTAATCTAATAAATTTGTTCTTGAACTGCCAGTTTTGCGTAAGGTCAGTGGGTTGTCCTTAATTCAGTACTTGTATGCCTACTATATGAAGTCTGTATTAGGAACTGTAGCAGATTCAAAGATGGGTTAAGATAACCCCTCTGACCTCAAGGAGTTTAAAATCTTATAGGAGTGATTTTTAAAAAGTACCATTTATTTACTATTTATATAAAAACTCACTGTGTGAGATTTTTATGGAAAACACTTAATTCTCACAAGTAGATGAAGTAATATTTCTGTTTTGTGAAAGAGGAAACTGAGACTTAAGAGAGATTAGGTTGCTGGCCTTGGGTAACAGAAATAAGTGGCAGAAACTAGAACCCAAGCTGTTGGACCTGAAGGCTCAAACCACTACTGCACACATTGTTTCACAAATAACTTAATAAACAAAGGAAATACTAGAACAGAGCTACAAAGGGTGATGGAATTAGAAAAACGCTCATGAAAAATGTAGAAACTTCTGAAAAAATTTCTTACATTAAAACCTTGCAAAGCCTAGTGATATTCTAAATAGGTTATTAAGAAGAAAGTTCCCAAGCACTCTGGCACCAAAGCTAATTAAAGTTGTTATCCATCTCTAGGCAGAGTATAGTGGTCCCTCAGTATACTGGGAGTATTGGTTCCAGGACCTCCACCCCCAAGAGGAGACCAAAATTAGGGGATGCCCAAGTCCTTTATATGGAATACAAGTATAAGTACATAGTATTTGCATAGAACTTGCATATGTCCTCCCATACGCTTTAAATCATCTCTAGATTACCTAAACACTTAATATAAGTGCTATATAAATAGTCATTACCCTACAATTATTGTTGTTATTGTTTTTGAGACAGAGTCTCACTATGCCGCCCTGGGGAGAGTGCTATGGTGTCACAGTTCA